GAGCTTGTCAACTAGTTTGCGGTAAAGTAAAGAGAGTGATCAAGAGGGTTATACCGCCGTGTAGATGAATGAACCAATCAATCACGAAGATGAATAACAATGATGATCAATCACCTCGGAATCAATGATGAACACAATGATTTTTTTTTCCGAGGTTCACTTGCTTGCCGGCAAGCTAGTCCTCGTTGTGGCGATTCACTCACTTGGAGGTTCACGCGCTAATTGGCTTCACACGCCAAACCCTCAATAGGGTGCCGCACAACCAACACAAGATGAGGATCACACAAGTCACGAGCAATCCACTAGAGTACCTTTTGGCGCTCCGCCGGGGAAAAGTCAAGAACCCCTCACAATCACCACGATCGGAGCCGGAGACAATCACCACCTCCGCTCGACAATCCTCGCTGCTCCAAACCGTCTAGGTGGCGGCAACCACCAAGAGTAACAAGCGAAATCCGCAGCGAAACACAATCACTAAGTGCCTCTAGATGCAATCACTCAAGCAATGCACTTGGATCACTCCCAATCTCACTATGATGATGAGTCAATGATGTAGATGAGTGGGAGTCCTTTAGCTAGGCTCACAAGGTTGCTATGTCAATGAAAATGTGCAAGGGTTTTCCCTTGAGCCGGCCATGGGGCTATAAATAGAGCCCCAATCAAATAGAGCCGTTATACCCCTTCACTGGGCAAAACGCGCTCTGACCAGACGCTGGCCCTCAGCGTCCGGTCGCCCGATGGACGCCACGCGTCACCAGCTTCAAACGCTGTTCGTCAGATTTCAACGGCTCCGAAGCTGACCGGACGCTCCGGTAAAACTGACCGGACGCTGAAGCCCCAGCGTCCGGTCGTTTCCAGTAAGCTCCTCGAGGCATGTTTTTTTCGACCGGACGCGTCCGGTCCACCTTGACCGGACGCAGCCAGCTTCCGGTGCTCAACCCTAGCCACTGTGCCGTCTGACAGCTCGACCGGACGCAGCCTTTCAGCGTCCGGTCGCTGAGTGACCCAGCGTCCGGTCATTAGACCGACGCCAGCATCATTTCGATCAACTCCATTTCAACTCTTACTTCTTCACCATTGCTCAAGTGTGCCAACCACCAAGAATTTTGCATCCGGCGCAATAGAAAATACATTTCATTTTCCCGAAAGCGCCGAATCCCGCCTCGCAAGCTCGGCGGGAGGGAGAGAGGGACCCAAACCCATCTCAACCCTACAAACACCTTGTGCACATGTGGTAGCATATTTACACAAATATTATCAAGGGTGTTAGCACTCCACTAGATCCTAAATGCATATGCAATGAGTTAGAGCATCTAGTGGCACTTTGATAACCGCATTCCGATACGAGTTTCACCCCTCTTAATAGTACGGCTATCAAACCTAAATGTGATCACACTCTCTAAGTGTCTTGATCACCAAAATAAAATAGCTCTTACAAGTTATACCTTTGCCTTGAGCTTTTTGTTTTTCTCTTTCTTCTCTTCAAGTTTAAGCCCTTGATCATCTCCATGCTTTCACCATTGTCATGTTATGATCTTCATTTGCTTCTTTACTTGAAGTGTGCTACATATCTCATGATCACTTGATGAACTAGGTTAGCACTTAGGGTTTCATCAATTTACCAAAACCAAACTAGAGCTTTCACCTATAACTTACTCTCTTCATTCTAAATTATGAGTCGCTTTGATTTTTCTTTTGTATATTCATTTTATTATGCATCTAGATATAAGTACGTCTAGATACATAACAAATTCTATGTACCAAAAAAATTAAAGTAACTTATAATTTAGAACGGAAGGAGTAGGAAAGAAAGAAAGAATGAAAGAAATGTTAGAGCTGAGAAATGTTACAATGGCAGTGGACAAGTAATATTACACATGAGCCCCAACATTGTTAGCAATTAGATACTTACATTTTGCCAGAGTGGATCATCCTTCATCTCATGGTCGCAATTGTTACTGAAGAAAATGGTCGATTTATCTCGGTTGACCATTTATCTAGAACCACGGCTATATATTTTCAAAATTTCTACATCATGCTACTTTGCAAAAACACAAAAGAGTGCCCAAGAACTTTCAACCTCGTCTTTTTTCGTGACCATGACTAGGCACGTATTTTATTAAGAGGAAGTAGAGAAATATTATAAGCTATCCCGTCAATGGTAAGCGCCTGAGCTTACCAAAGAGGAGGATGACCAAAAACACAAAAAAGAAAAAGAGAACCGAAAAAAGTTGAGGATTACAGCAAACTTAGAGGCGGCCTCAATTGCAGGAAACATGCCAACGCTTAGTCAAAGGCCACCTGGGCTACGAACTCCCTAACCACCCGACGTCGCGCTCATCCGTTGAGGCCGTGCACAATCCAACAGACGATATGAATCATTAACACGGCTTGGCCAGAAGCGTGTCAACCTCTGGGGCGAAGTCGTCCAAGAATGCGTGGTCCTGGAATAGAACCTTGAAGGCCTCATACTTGGACTCCGAAAGCGGTTCAGCAAAGATGGACTCATGCTTCTATATAGCTGCAGAGTCGATGGGTTTTGCTGAATCCGCGAGTCCCAACTTGAACATAAGAACCTGCTGCACCTGAAAAGTTGGGTTGGCTGCCCGAGGTTTAGCAGCTAAGCAAGTACTTCTAGCTTATGCTCGCTAGCAACCCTCTCACGTGCTTACAACAGTAGAGACTATGAGTGTGTTTGGTTTGAAGAATAAGGTGATCCATCATCTTCTCACTCCTCACTTTTTGTATTTAGTTTGTGGAATAGAATGAGTTGATACATCGTCACATCATTTCTCATAAACTAATAATTATTATATGCCCGAGGAATAAATTAATTCCACCAAAATTTATATGATGAACTCATCATACATCGTCTTATGATGTATGGGGTGACTCCACATATGTAACGCCTATCAGATACGATGGCATGGGCAACATGCTCGGCTCTGGAGAAGCGATAACGAAATCCGGTCAAGCGAAGAATGCCCGCGGTGGCTGGCTGGCTGCGGTGCCGGCGGCATGTCCTGGTCCATGTCGTTGCTTGCAGTACTGCTCTCGCCGTCATCGAGCTATTCGTGGGCCCTCTGAGTTTGAAGCTTCTCGTGTGCGTCCCATCGCTCGGCTGAAGCGGAGGACACGCGGTTGTTGCTGTTGGGGGACGCTTGCTGCTGTCGCTGCTCCTACCTCGGCTGCTGGTTCTGGGCGCCGAGGAGGACGTCGTCGCGCTCTTCTTGTTGTTGTCCTACCTCTCGCACGACGACGTGCGCCCGGGACTACCGCTGTTGCCGTCCATGGGCGGACGTTGGCCACCTGACGATGACGCCGACACCGCCACCGGGCTGTCACTAGTGCCGCCTAGTTTGATCTTGTGCGTGTCCCACCTCTCGACGTCGTCAGCGCAGCTGGGCTTGGGAGGCGAACTGGGAAGGATGACGGCGCACGGCGGCGCTGGGAGCAACGATTGGATCATCGTGCACTTGGGTGAGGTGGGAAGCAGCCCGGCAATAGCTGTGTGCGCCTTGGCAAGGTGCACGCGCGCAACGGCCGGGTATCACCATGGATCGAATGAAGGAGACACACACCGTACCGTACCAGAGGAGACGAATGAAGAAGCGATGTGATGAAATCTGGAGATTATGAGAAAGTTACTGGCGTTAAGGTTGGATCATCGTCTGCCAGTCCGATCGTCGATTGACATCGAACAACAGGCCATGACAATCACTGTATCCGACTGCAGTGAATGACTTGGCGTTCGTCTGACTCCGATCGTTTACACTAGTATATACTGTTAGCCTATTGTAATTACAGCATGCAGCTTTTGATTTGTGGCATGTATCACGTCTGCGTGATTGGTTGATAAGCCACCCGGCCCCTATATGTACTCACGCATATTAATTCAATTCTAATCACCTCGCCGCGCAACGCTGATCTACTGTGACAACATTATTGCTGTTTACCTCTCTACAAACCCAGTACAGCATCAGCGCACGAAGCATGTTGAGATTGATCTCCATTTTGTTCGGGAGCAAGTCGCCCTTGGCCATGTTTGGGTTCTTCATGTCCCTACGGCATCTCAGTACGCCGATGTCTTCACCAAATGCCTCCCTACCTCTGTGTTTCAGGAGTTTCGATCTAGCCTGAACAATCGATGTGCTCCCGATCAGACTACGAGGAAGTGTTAGCCTATTGTAATTATACTATGCAGCCCTTGATTTGTGGCATGTATCACGCCTGCGTAGTTGGTTGGTAAGCCACTCCGGCTCCTATACGTACTCACGCATATTAATACAATTCTAATCACGTTACATATACTTGTCTCTTCTCCTATAATCGCACGGACGTGCCTCATTCTGAATCTTGCGGTTCCTTCAAATTTGTTGGAAACCAAAGCATCGACGGAGAAAGCCCTGAATCCGACTAGGAGAGAAATGGCGTGGCGCCCACGCGTCTCGTCGCTGTATGAAATCAATTCGGACCTCAACTCCGATTCAACCTGACGAACAACGAGGATTCGACCGAATTGCCAGGCATCCCTGGGGCCTATATATTTCTGCTGCTGCTACCAGAAATCATGCATCTCACCGATCGTCATCTCTCTGTTTCATCCATCTCCTCGATTCACTTGGCGGCGCTTCTGCCTTCTGGTGTGCGCGTCTCCGTCTTGGATCCACGGCGATACCAGTTGCCCGCGAGCACCTTGCCATGGCACACGCGGCTCTCCCGGCGCTGCTCCCGACCCCGCCCAAGTGGAAGATGTTACCGCTGCTCCCGGCGCCGTGCGTCGCCACCATCCTCGGCCTCCCAAAGCCGCTCGCCAAGCCGAGCCGCGCCGACTCCGACGAGAGGTGGAACGCGCGCAAGACCAAGCCGGCCAGCATAGAATCCTCAGCCTCGTCAAGCCCTCGTTCCGCCGACAGCGTCAGGAGCAGCACCGTACCGGCCGCGGATCCTCGCGCAAGAACGCGACCTCGCCACCGCCCAAGCCCGGCCGAGCCGACTCCATGGAGAGGTGGGACGCGCACAAGAAGGCAGCGAGCCCAGCTTCGTCGTCGTCAGGCACGTCTCCCCTCGTAAGCAGCACGTGCACAATCAGCCGCGCGTCCTCCGCCGAGCGCTGGGACGTGCACAAGAAGCGTCGCCGACTGCAGGCCAATGCACTTGACGACGGCGAGAGCAGCAGTACTGGCAGCAACGACATCGACACGGAGGAGGAGGAGGAGATACTATGGAAGCCGCGGGCCATGTACGCAGGACCGGGCTTCGTCGTCGCCGAGCCAGAATCCAGCATGCTTTCCCATGCTAACAGCGTTCTTGGTTCGCGTTGCTTAGCTGCACTGCTCGAACTCATCTCGGCTGGTTTCTTCAGCTTCCGAAAGCAAGTGTGTGATCTGATCATGTAGGGGTGCTACTGCGACTAACGATGCTGTTTTCGATAATGGAGAAGTGCACAGCTTAATTATGGTGTTAGAATTTGAATGTTTTGCATGTCTTTGTGGGTCTTAGATTATTTCATCTGAGTTTGGTGCCTTTTGTAAGCCTAAACTGTATATGGATGCATACATCTGCAAGTATCATCTTGATTGATTCTGTTTTATTTTCAACACTCCAACACGTGTGCCGTGTCCAATGAATTACTCGCGCCTTTGCCTACTCATCAAAGAGGAACATTGTCACAAGTCGTAGTGAACATTTTTTTTTGCAAATATAAGTAGTGAATATCTTTTTAGAATTAACGCCCAACACGCATATGCACGCTTACCACTATGAACACATGTACTCTTATGAGCACCTCCGAAAGACTGAGCTGGCAGATCTCGAGATTCACGATGTCACCGTAGCGCCGTTAAATCCTTAAATAAATCTATAAAAATACAAGCATCCGTGCCAAGTCAGGAACTTGAGCCCAGGTGTGCAGGTTCCGCACAAGAGCCAACCAAATGATCCACTACAAGAATCCTCTTAATTCATGATGAAAATTTTTCGTCATGGATCACCAAAAAAACGTCACCAAGCAGCATCTGTGATGATTTCTGATATTATCACGGATTGAACGTCATGGATTAACCTCCGTGACATTTTGTCAAAAATTATCACTTATTAACGAAATCGGTGACGATCTAAAATCGTCACGGTAGTAGAGCCCGAGGCCTAGTTAGCCCAGCCCAAGTCCATTTCTTGTGACGAAAAATAAACGTCACGGATGAATTGCCCGTGGGTGATGACATCAACATCCCAACCCATTTATTAATAGCCCAACATCAAAGGTGGGCCACTTTTTAGCCTGCTTTCAGCCCATTTGCAATCTCTTTTCAGCCCATTTACATTATGGTTTCAGCCCATTTTTCAATTTGTTTTTTTTTCAAATATTATAGCACATACAATATACAGCCCATTTTTATGTCACATACAACAAACATGCCCATATAGACAAAGCTCGTTTTCAGTTGCATAATAAGAATTCAATCCAGCAGTGAACACCATCAGTTTGTTACATCAAGAATATTGCTAATGGACGGTCACAAAATGACAAATATTGAGGTCCAAAGATATGGCAATTATCAAATCCTCGATATCAACATCTGACTCCTCTAACTAATGTTTCCAGCTGCTCAGTTTCCAATTGCTAAAATTCAGGTACAGCCGCACAGGCACTTGATGCACAAAAGAACCTGCCATAAAAACAAACAGAAATTTAACTTTGTTTCAAGAGATGAGCACTAAATTAACTTCAGTTGGAGATCTGCTACTACTACCAATCTGCATGTACGGTTTGTCAACAAAGATCAAAATGATTTTTTAAGCGAGTCATTTTTTATACTAGAACTAATCCACAAGTGTTCTATTAATTCAGTCTTGTTTTATTTATTCTCTTTCATGCATACCACTCATGACAGAACATAAAAAAAATTACTGTTGTGACAAGCAATTCAATAAATAGATTGTAAGCAACAGCTAGTTACCATAACGTTATATGCAGTCCTAACAAAATGTTTCTTCAATCCCAACAGAATTTCATACAGACGAGAATGTGACCAGAAAAATGTATACCTTAGAAATGGTTCCAGTGCCATGGGGGCCCGAGCTGAAGCTTCTTCTCCCACGAATTAAAATGGGACAATACTTCTACAATTCAAAAAAATGGCCAAAAAGTAAATCATATGTATATGATAAAATGTCGGTCTTAATACAGGACTTTTCCAAGGACAATGGAATCACAATAGTCAAACTGATGTGTACAATTTTTTGTATAGAGCAAAACCAGGATCCAGATATAATTACAGTGATCGCAAATCAATGTTTGAAGCAACAAAGGAAAGGCATGCATAAGAATGCTTTAGCAGATAACTTCTGAACAGCAATCAATAGGGCTAACACACCTAGTTTGTAAACAATAATTTTTTAAGCTGCATCTCACGCTGCTGTCTCGTGCCACCGCCTGCTCAGAATCACGAGAGAGAGTGAATCTGAGGAAAGACGAGAGTGAGAGTTAATTTAGGGAAAGAGAAATAGAGCGGCACTACAGGGATCTGACCGGAACCCACCACTGTAACTCGATGGCAACGTGATGTCTAGGACAAGAAGATCCGCTGGCCGTCAGTAGCCCTCGTCGGATCCTCATCGGCTCATGTGACATCCTCGGCCGAGCTCAGATTCCACGCCGCCGGGAGGAAGCCCTAGCCCATGGCCGGGATCCTCCGGAAGCAGGAGGAGGCCCACGGCCAGATTCCTCCGCACGCCGCCGGAAAGAGGCTGAGGACTCGGGGGAGCCGGCAACCCGCCGAGGTGTCCAGTCTGGGACCGTCGCCGCCGCTTGCTTCCTCGCTTGACCGTCAGTAGGGGAAGGCATGGCCAGGAAGCGGGGCCATCCAGCTGCGTCTGGATGTAGAATGAGAGGAGAGGAAGTGGCAGAGGAGCTCACCTCTCTCTCAGGCATAGAGGAAGCCGCGTGAGCTGCAGAGTACGGACACGGCTGCGCATGGGGGGCGACGGGGAAAGGAGAATGGAGCTAGAGTTGAGAGGGAGTCGAAGGTTTATATATGATGTGTATGTGGATCTCGTTCGTCAATTTAATCGGACGGTTCAAGATGAGCCAGGTCTAATTTGGGCTGCGTGTCTTATTGGGCTGGGCTCTTTTCAGGTTTGGGCAGAGCTAGGTCTTGAACTATTCCAAATTTTTTTGTGTTCCAATCTTTATATTCATTCTTTGTTTCATTTCTAGTTAAGTATAAAAATACAAATTTAAATGATCTCAAATGAAAAGGTTGTCAAATACAAACTTCTATAACTTTTCTTTATCTACAACTTTTATTTTGGTCATCTTTACATGTGACTTTGTTTGAACAATTCAAAATTTGAATTTTAAAAAATGACTACTTCAAACAAAATTTTAAAAGAGTAAATGATTTCATCTGAAAAAGTCATCAACAACAAAGTTGTAGAAGTCATCAAGATCTATAACTTTTATTTTGGCCATTTGTTCATCCAACAAAGTGATAGTAACATTGTTTACAAATCTTACATATCTCTCATATGGTTTCATAAACGATAACAGAGATATGTAAATTTTGTTAACAATGTTACTATCACTTTGTTTGATGAACAAATGACCAAAATAAAAGGTGTAGATCTTGATTAGTTCTACAACTTTTATGTTCATGACATTTTCAGCTGAAATCATTTACTGCTTCAAAATGTTGTTTGAAGTTGTTATTTTTTAAAATTCAAATTTTCAATTGATAAAACAAAGTCACATGAAATTTTAACAAAAATAATAGCTGTAAGAACATAATAATTTGATAGAGCATGATTTTAGAAAATTTTAGAAAAAAGAATCGTCTCATTTGGAGTTAGCATGAGGGAGAAAGACTTGTTACAAATTTTGACTACAGATTAAAAAAAGAAAAGCTTGTGTTTATGATCTTGATTTTCCAGTATTTAAGCAATTTATTTTTCTACTGAAAACTCATATGAAAAGGTCATTTTCGAATGACACGTAGGGTCCGAGCATCAGTATATCCGGTGCATTGGTGTTTTTTTTAAAAAAAAAATTTATGTTTATGATGTCATCGTGACTTTGTTTCTACGTGACTTAACTCTGCCCTCTTCGTACGGGAGGAACATGTTCGTATATGTATACTAAGGGCTGCTTTGGCAGCTCGGGGGGACTATTTCAGGGAAGCAAACCGAGGGGAGGGATTTTTCTAGACATGCTAATCCCCTCTCTTCCCGGAGGGGAGATTTCACATGCGGGGTTATTTTCCTGTTGGAAGCACGTAATTACAGAGAAATAGATTATGTGATATATTGCATAAATAAAGTTGTCGGATAAAACATGTATTACATATTTTAGTCCTTCCTGATGGCTCTCGGCTTCTCTGGTGTGCATCTACCATGTCCAGGATTATAGAAAAGTCTTGACTGATATAGTATAGAAACATCTTTAAAAAATACGAAAAAATCAAGAAAATTCAGAAAAGAAAATGATATAACAAGGTCACTACGTATTGATGCTCGTATCATATAAATAAATAAAAAATCTTAGGAATAAGTTTTTTTACATAAAAATACATGTGTGCTCTATACTTTGATTTTTATATATGTTATATCACTTGGATTATGCTCATTTGCTTTGCTTTCGAGTTTTACTCCGATGCAAATGAGCTTTATTTTTTGTACTCATGCTTATTTCATATCTATTGAGTACATCATATTGGCTTGAGTCATATAAGCTTGCCTAATTCTTTTGTTCTTATTGAAAAAAGCTTATATGAACCAAGCATGTTAAAAATCTCATTTCTTTTACATACTCGAGGTGGTATCGTCATCAATCCCAAAAATAGGAAGATTGAAAGCATCTAGGCCCCTAGTTGGGTTTCAGTGATTAATGACAATACGAGATTACTGTGACTAACATGTGTTTTGCAGATGTAATTAAGTTAGGTTATGGTAATGGAAATTGATTGGGCAATCATGGTTGTCATGCCCCTACGATGGAAATCGTTTCAGTTTTCAAAGGATAGACGACAAGATTAAGGATGGACTAGTTCTAAGTGTCGTTTGGTGTTGAAGAGACACTTAGAGTAGTTTAGGACTTTGTTTTTTCTTTGGTCGTACTATTAAGGGGGTATGGATAGGTAGCTTGACCTAGGTGAGTCTAGTGGGTTAGATGTGGTGCACACTTATTAAATCTAACACTAGGTAGCTCCTAAATAGCCCTTAGATCAATTGAAGCAAACTTCATTCACATATGATTACGAGTTGGAAGTGAATGGATGGTTAAATATTGACCGGACGCTGGTTCCGGTGTCACCGGATGCTGGCGCAGAGTCCGGTTAGTTTATTTGATCCAGGTGAAGTCATCTGGTGCGACTGGACGCTGAGAGGTGAGTGACCGAACGCTGGGTGCCAGAGTCCGGTCAACTCTAGTAAGGTCCCAGAGAGGGAGAATCCTGATCGGACGTGTCCGGGCAGTGCTGACCGGACGCTGGTCAGGTTTCGGCTACTGATCGGACGCTGAGTAGCAAAGTGACTGGACGCTGGGTTCGAGAGTCCGGTCAACATCAGTAAGGTTTCAGAGAGCAGTTTTTGTGACCGGACGCGTTCGGTCAGTGCTGACCGGACGCTGGTCAGTGTCCGGTCACAACTTAAATGGCTTAGTGGTGGGTGAACTAACCGGGGCGTCCAATCACCTTGACTGGAGCGTCTGGTCACCCCGTAGAGACACATAACGGTTTGTTTTGAACAAGGGTGTATAAATACTTCCTCTATTCATATAAGGGATCACTTTTGCTTATTCCAACAGCTGAGAAACACCCTTGAGAGTGCAAGAAGAGCAAGGTCCTAGTGAGGTGATTAAGATTTGAGAATCCAAGAGAGATGCCACATTAGTGAAAGCAAGAGTAGCAAAGTGTGCATCCACCTTTCTCATTAGGCTTGTCGTGGTTAAGTGAGAGTCCGTGCTTGTTACTCTTGGTGATCGCCATCACCTAGACGGCTTGGTGGTGATTGGGAGCTTGGTGATCATCCGGCGGAGCTTGTGGATGACCCAACTCAAGTTGTGAGCGGTTGTGGGTGATTCACCGCGACGGAGTGTCGAAGAATCAACCCGTAGAGAGCACTTGATCCTTACGCGGATCAAGGGGGAGCTACACCCTTACGTGGGTGCTCCAACATGGACTAGTGGGGAGTGGTGACTCTCCGATACCTCGGCAAAACATCACCGCGTTCCTCCTTCTCTCTTTATTTTGAGCATTTACTTTGAGCAATTCAATTCTTATCTTTACATTCATAGAATTTCTATGCTAGAGTAGGATTGGAACTTAGGTTGCTAAACTTTTGTACGTTAGTACATTAGAAACACTTTCTAGACACAAGGAGTGAAGTGGGCTAACCGTAGAATTTAATTATTGCAAAGAATTTTAGAATTAGCCCAATTCACTCCCCCTCTTGTGCATTTTGATCCTTTCAGATTTATTATGAGAATGTGATTAATAATAAGGTAATTGTTACCTTGATATGATATGAGTAAGATGAACTTGATAATAATAACTATAGAATTTAAAATTGGTAAAACTTGACTAAACCTTGACATGGGGCGAGTGGGAGTAATTTATGGAGATAAATTGCCTTAGTAGGAATGCCTGGAGAGGATTCATGTGGGAGATACTCGCCTCAGTCACTTAAGGACTAGTTCATAGTTCCTCTCACCTAGTGAGATATTACGTACAGCCACATGTCTATATGGTAGACTAGATCTCACACCCCATTAGATAGAAGTATAGTTTCTACTAGAAGGCCGGTGTAGGCAACGGAATATCAGGAGCCGACACGGGGATAGATTTTCTTCAGTGGTCCGGTTGGCGTGGATGCTATGTGATCTTCCACGTTAAGCTTTTATTTTTTGCTACGTCCGAGCCCTTGTTTCTTGGCCGTGTTCGAGCCATGTTTTTCTTTTGTGATGATCTGGTATCATCATGTTTGAGGGGATTTGGTATCTTTCCGGTTTTGTGTTTTCAACCCCTGATAAGCCGTGGTAGAGATTATATAAAAATCTAGGTTAGCTTCTAAACGGGTACGGGATCTCGTTAGACTTGTCTAAGCCATGACGATGGTGTCGGACTGTGTCTATCGCGTGGGGAAATTTGTACACACCTCTGCAGAGTTAACTAAATTTATTCGAATAGCCACGTCATTAGAATGGGTAAATGCTAGGATGAGATACTATGATTAGACTTCGTAATCTGGTAAGATGTGCTTTTACTAATTTGATAATTATAATGAGTAACGGCCGGTGAGAATGATAATACTTTGTCAGGGGCCAACATATAATTATAACTACTCCACCTTATTACTTTACCTAACCACCTCCACCACCATAACCCACCTCCACCATATAGCCTTCCCCTTCCACTCCACCTTCATCCAAATTAGGGCTTGCTAAGTACTTTATGTACTCAACCCCCTCCATCTACATTTTTAGCAGTCAAGTTACAAGAGTGGATGTCCGGATAGAACGACTGGAGCCACGTAAGGATGAGATACCCGGAGGATACCCGAAGATAGAGCCATATGAGAGAGCTACACTAGGACTACGACGTTACGATATAGGATTACGCTAGAGGAATAAGTCTATGGCTGCGTCTACACTCCAAGTTGTCTATAGGAAATGTAACCACGTCGTCATAGGACCGCTGTCTTAGAACTCTGATATACGATATAAGGTCAGAGACCCAAACTACGTAAACCCGAACCATGTAACATGTTTTCCCCATTAGCAATAAAATATGGATTTTTTATATCAATCTTGTTGAGTTGTGCGTATCTAGGGACTGATACATATGCACAGTGGACCCCTCGAATTAGGGGGCCCGACAGGTAGAGGGGAGCACCCTACTCCATAAATGTAGCTAGGTAAAGTGGCTAGGCAAAGTTATTCATAGCCATACCTCCTCAATAAGCCACTTAAATTTTAATTAATTAGTTAATAATGTTATTTATGTTTTATGTTTTTGTTCTTTCTCCATATCTCTACTCCTAAAAAGGCTAAATAGGTTCTGTTCGCTTGTCTTATAATCCATACTTTTTAGCTTGTTTTTTCAGCCGGAACAGTATTTTTCTCTCACAACAAATCCGCCGGAACAATGTTTTGACTTGTTTTTTCAGCGAAGCGAATGAGACCATAGGAATCATTCGCCTCTCTAATCAACATGCCTCTGACCCCCTTCCTCCCCGATCCCACGAATCGACCCTGCGTACCCCTCAACCTCGTTAGTCGCCCCGCGCCCTTCACCTCTCGTGTAGTCGGCCATCACCTCTGCTATCTCGGCCTCTCCCCTGAGCGTGCCTTGCCCTAACTCGTGCTCCCCCGACGCCGCCACGGAATGTTCCCTTGCCTCGCTCGCGACGCTGCTGCCACCGAGCACCCTCGACACGGACGCGGACATAGAAACAGCGCCCGCCTCTCTGCGGCCTCCTCCTATGGCAGCAACCTGTTGCTCCAAAACTCCATTCCTTTCTCCTCCTTTCGTAAATTCAAAAGGTGATTATACCAGGCTCTAAAATTAATGTCTATTTTCCCAATAGAATAAATAATAGAGAACTCATTTTATTGGATTTGACTTAAAATCTCTTACAAATTTTAAATTAAAATTCTTCAAAGTTGACTGTTTTTTAATATTTGACTTGAACTTAAGAGTGTCGATTTAATTCTCAAAAATCAAGAAAAAATATATCAATTCATATTAATTTGAATACTTATAAAATAAAGATAAGTAGAATATGAAGAGTGAGACATAACTAGTTTGTTGAAGTGTGCTGAATCATGGAGAGGAAATCTTTATAAAGTGGATAGCCAAATGAAGATATGGAGCTTGTAATTTAGAATCTTTGAGAGATGCTCCTCCGTCTCTAAAATTTGTCCTCTAAATCATTATTGGAAGAGGTTCCACTGATTCTCTCCCCAAGCCGATGAGGTCATGTTACTGATTCGGGTCATGGCCTCGTGGGTGCCCCTGGCCTGCCCGGTGCGGGCGGTGCGTGACTCTTTGCTCCTGCTCCTGCTCCTGCTCCTCTCCTCTCTCTCGCGAAAACAAAGCACCACCGCCCTGACAAAAACTAGCAAAAATCCCCAATTCCGCCGCACTCCGATCCCCCAAACCCTTAAAGCTCCCAATCCCCAACCTTCCCTCCGTCTCCGGATGCCCTCTACCCACGCGGCCTAGGGCGGCAGCAGTCGTCTGGCAGGCGGGGAAGCGCCGATGGAGCCGCGCGTGGCCAACAAGTTCCGCCTCGGGCGCAAGCTCGGGAGCGGATCCTTCGGGGAGATCTTCCTTGGTTCGTGCTGCCGGTTCCTATGCTTTAATGTTGCGTTCCCATGCGAAAGCTCTCACCTTTGCCCTTGCCCGTGGTGCTGATGATTGGTCTGTTTGTTTGGCGCTGTTGCTGCAGGTACTCACGTGCAGACCAACGAGGAGGTCGCGATTAAGCTGGTGAGTTCACTGTTCGTACAAAGCGATAATCTGTTCAATGTTTCCGTTCTACATTAGTTAAGTGGAGTGATCCGTTTTGATGTTTCCATTCTACATTTGTTAAGTGGAGTGATGGTACTTTTTTTTTCTAATAATGTGCATATTTTCGATTTAGTGTAGTTACTCTATAACTGGTTGGATATCTTTTCTCAAGTAAATATCAACTAAATTTAGTGCGGAATTGTAATCTGTTGAATTCTAATGGTAGATTATTGATCACAGATGTTTATTTGTTGTTTCATATGTATGTTAAGTGGAGTGATTATTGAAAATGATTATTTGCATAGGAATTGTTAGGATGTCTCACTCATCTTGATGATCTCTTTAAACAACTGCAGGGCTTGGACTGTGCTTACTGACAAGACCTCTCTCTTTTTGTTTTGTCCAGGAAAGTGTGAAGACAAAACATCCTCAGTTGCTGTATGAGTCAAAGCTGTATAGGATACTGCAGGGTGGAAGTAATACATGTTTCTTTCTAGTTGGGCTGTCATACATTTAATATTTTCATTTTCTTAAGGTTAACTTACATTTTGTTTTCTCCTGCAGCTGGAATTCCAAACGTCAAGTGGTTTGGTGTCGAGGGTGACTACAATGTTCTTGTTATGGACCTCTTGGGTCCAAGCCTTGAGGAGCTTTTCAGCTTTTGCAACAGAAAACTGTCCCTGAAGACCGTTTTGATGCTTGCTGATCAGTTGGTACATTATATAATTGAGTGCAAGCATAACCTTTATTATTATACAAATATAGTCCTTGCTGGTTTAGTCTACATCAGAGTTTTTAATTTCAATTTTTCGTAGATCAACCGGATCGAGTATGTTCATATGAAGTCATTCTTACATCGAGATATTAAGCCAGACAATTTCCTCATGGGCCTTGGCAAGAGAATAAATCAGGCAAGTCTTTTAGCATGTTGTATTCACTTATGTAGGCACAGTTTTTGTACTTATACTTATAGGTTTGAGGACCTTCCCTTGGATAGTTGGGATTTTCACATTCTCTCCATTCCTCTACAGGCATACGTGATCGATTTTGGATTAGCAAAGAAATACAGGGACAGTGCAAACCAGCACATTCCATACAGGTAATATGTTGCAATTCATCAATCTGTGACTCTGAGGGCGGCAGTTTAACATTTCTTTCTTTTCTATTTGCATCATGATATTGGTGCTGTACTTCCTGATTTTTCCTCACTGGGCACTGTAGCCATATTGTGTTTGTATATTTGATCTTGTCAATAGATGGGTAGATATGAATTACAAAGGCATGCTATTTGCCCTGCCTTTGAAGATGTATGACATTTATCTACTGAAGTGCAGAGAGAACAAAAATTTGACTGGGACAGCACGATATGCAAGTGTAAACACTCATCTCGGAATTGGTAGGTTAAAATTTCAAGCTTCTTTATAAAAGAGCATTTCAAGTTGAGTATTGGATTTGTTTTGTTTCTGTTACGCCTATATTCACAAAATAGTAAGTTTTTTTTTTCTGCTTTGCCAATAGAACAAAGCAGGAGGGATGACATGGAATCGCTTGGATATGTACTCATGTACTTCTTAAGAGGAAGGTTGGTCTTTTGGGTGCTTCTTTTTTCTGTCCTTATACTTCTGCCTCTTGTTATCTGTTGTGTACCAACAATAGCCCTTATTGTGCAGTCTTCCTTGGCAAGGTCTAAAAGCTGGGACCAAGAAACAGAAGTATGAGAAAATCAGTGAAAGGAAGATCGCTACTTCAGTTGAGGTGATTTCCTTACTGAAAATTCAATCATCACTATTGAGCAATTGGAGGTTGTTACGATTTTTCTTATTTGCAGGTTCTCTGTCGTGGATACCCTTCTGAATTTCAATGCTACTTCCATCACTGCCGTGCGTTACGCTTTGATGATGCGCCTGACTATCAATACCTGAAGAGACTGTTCAGAGACCTTTTTATTCGAGAGGGTTGATATTTATGACTTGACTGCTACTATTTCTCAACATTCTATTTCAGGAAATGCTCCATTGGAGATCCTTCTAAGAGGAAATTTCTTGTATCTGCAGGATTTCAGTTTGATTATGTTTTCGACTGGACCATTCTTAAGTATCAGCAGTCGCAAATGACCATTCCACCGCGTGCTATGGTTGGTACAATCCATAGTGCTCGCTTTCTGCAGTTGTCTACAATTATGGGTGAATATCTTATGCACATGATCAAGTGTGACAGGCTGCAGCACCGGGTCAAAGCTCCAGGATGGCTCCAATGGCAAATAATAATGGACTGTCAGGTGCGCCTGTCCTGTGATTGATGTGACAATAGTTTCTTACTCTGCTTCTCCTATCATCGATATGTGTGCACGTGGATAATTTATAAGCACTTTGGGTTGGAAGCTTCATGAATCTGCAAAATGAGCTGCAACATCAATTGGTGATGAAGAATATTATAACAAACAACTTGATTATATTCTTCTGTATGATAACAAAACTATACCAACACCAATTAAAAATATACCATTATGGCAAAAAGAACTATAAATCACTCCAAACAATTTGATACAGATGGATTTTCAAAAGCATTATTCTCTTTGGATACTATTTCCTAATGTGTATCTTGAATTTACATTCTTTGAATTTTTGTGGTTATGTCCATCTAATTTTTGAGTTGGCTGGGTCTGCTTAGGGCTAACTGTCTCCTGAATTAATTTAGCCACTGAAGAGGGAAGGAAAAGTGGGTGGTCAGATGATCCCTTGTGACGCCGGGTTCCACGTGCAGGAATAAATGCAGGCAGCTTGGCAAAGCAGAAATCTCCAGTTAGACAAGAAGTGTCCACATCAAAAGATGCTGTGGTGAGTTCTTATTTTCATCTTTTGTTGTTTTACATTCCTGATTTGACAACTGCTTCTTTTGGTGCATGAGATTTTACTTTGTAATTCTGACCCCTCAAATGACTTATAGTTCGCCAGTTCAGCTATTTTGGGTCGGTCAAGCGGATCGTTGAGGCGTCCTGCTGTTCCTAGCAGCCGAGTTCCAACCAGTGAAGCTTTACTACACAGTCGTACACCAGATGGAAGCCTAGGGGCTTTCCAAAGAAATATCCCCCCACATAGGAGCTCACAGACCCTGGAGTACTTGGACCGCTCCGGAGTTTCGTTGTCTGGCAGGTTCATGCCCAACACCAAGAGCTATGAGTCCACTCTAAGGGGCATCCAAGGCCTAAATGTTGATGCCAATGATAGGATCCGCTACTAGCATCTTGTGGATCTCGTGGACGTGTTATATGATATCTTGAAGTCCAGATGAAGAGCAAGTATTAACTTCAAGCTACCTGCTGGAGGAGCAAGGCCACTTGTTGACCCAGAACTGCACTCTGGTTGGCGAAATAAAGGGCTGTCTGTGTTCTGGAGCAGCTTTTGTCTTAAGAAAAGGCATCATGACTATGTTTTAGCTCTGTACAGGTTCTGATTAGTCCATATTGTGCTTGTGGATTCTGGTTTAACGTTTTCCACATATATAATATCTCGTCTCGAGCTGAGCTGTGTCAGCTCGGTCGTGCACAGTTTGCTCCTTTCTGTATGCGTCGAATTTGTAAGTAATCTAAGCTGATTATCATTCAAGTATGTGCGAATCTTGTGTGTGTAGTGTTTTTCCCTCTGCATCTCAAAATGTGGAGCAAAAAGGGCACAATGTCTATTGAATGTGTTCATGATCACCCACTTTTTTCTCTAACGACGCATGAGAGCTGGGTGCTATTTCATTAAGCAAGAATAAGGGCATGTTTGGATGCTGTCTCCCAGGCAGCGTCCCCAGGCGTTCGATTTCGATCGCCTGGGGCTGCGATCGCTTGCCTGACAGGCAAGCCCAGGCGAGGGCGGCATCCAAACACGCCCTAAGAGTATAACGAGTCCGTACAAGGACCAACTAACTCGCACACCCACACCACAGGAGCTTACAATCACCCACTGGCCTTATTTGTGTGAGCAAAACTATGACGGACATGTATAGATACTCATTTCTGACCAACCTTGCCACAGACCACAGTGATAGTATCAGGCTAGCCATTTTCCTAATAACTACTAAACTGTACATAAGATCTCATCTTGCTTACATGTCATGTCTTCCATATGTGCATCCACGTAGACTTCAGATTTGAGCCATGACTGAACCCTGGAACGCTGGGAAAAGTAGTCAGAATACAGTTGATCCAGATACTAGGATTTAACGGTGTTGTTTCAATGTTAGTTGATGTACCCGTTGATCTACATACTAGGATTTAACTGTGTTGTTTTAGTGTTATCCGATGTTCTTGTCGATAGTGAGGCACTTTTTCATCGATAGCAAGGGCATGGGGCACTTTTCCATCGATAGCAAGGGCATGGTTATTTTGTTAATCTTGAGATTTTACTGGCCCAGTCTTAATTTTTAGAGTTGCCTTAATTAATGTGCCTATACGTAGCGATAATGCTAGGAAGTGGGCATCCGTCCCGCCCGATGCTTTCTGTTGGGGCTGCGCCGCCAGCCCAATAAACTCCCCGCTCTTCGCTTCTCATCCACTCACACTATCCACTCGCCATCGCCTCCGGCGCAACGCTATGCTCATCCACTCATTCCTATCCAATCCGTTCACTTCCTTGCCACTCTTTTATCTCCCCAATCTACTCCCTTGTGCGCATCCAACACAAAGGAGCGAGCACTTGATGGTCTCGGTGTGCCGTGAGTCGCAGCGTGGTGGCGCAGAGGCAAGAAAGCCCCCTAGCAACATGCGGTTTGTGTAGAGGCGAGCTCACGCCAACGCTGGAGGCGTGGCAAGCCCCTACGACAGTCGCTCGTGCACAACGACGCGAGGCCAGCGAGCCGCGCGCGTGACGGTGTGGAGGCATGAGAGCTCCAAGGCATGCACTCCATGTAGAGGCGAACTCGTGGCGGCGCAGATGCAGGCGAGCCCCGACGGCAGCCGCTCGTACGCGACAACGCTAGGCTAGCGAGCCGCTTCTGAGGCGCAACGCTCGACCGCTGGGCTTGCCTGGCACAACGCGCTCGGCGTTTGGCTGCCGGCCCTGCCAGGCGCACTGTGCTGGTGCCCTCTCCTAGTCATGCGGCCCCTGCCTCCTAGCCGTGTCGCAAGGCCAATGCCTCACTTCCGCGTCGTACGACTGATGTCTCCCTTCCACGTCGTGCAGCCGCCGCCACTGGGCCACCGCCTCCAAGCGCCGTTGGGCTGCTGCCTCTAGTGAACTCCACACGCCGACGAGACTCCATTCTCCTGAGCAGCAAGTAGATGTTGCGCTGCGCGAAAGCGCATGTTGCAAGCGTATGTTTCAATTGTTTTAGATGTTTTAGAGATATGTTCGAAGTGGTTCATATGGATGTTGCAAAAGTAGATCAGAATGTTACACATGTTGCAAGAGTATGTTTCATATGTTTTTAGTCTTATGTTGCAACAAGCGTTTTCATGTTGCAAGTTGCAAGTGTGTCATGTGGATGTTGCACATGTTATAGTGGTGTCGACACGGAATTTCGTCCGGTGCCGAGGACACACGTAGCAAGCCGGAAGGGTCCACTCGATGGAGCTGGAGATCCGCCTAGCTTTAACGCAAGGGTCGTCGATCTAGCGCACTCCTCCCGAGACGTGCCAGTCAATTTGACCCTGCAATTGACAAGGAGAGAAAATTTATTAGTAATTAAGGGCGGAACGTGCCGGTGTTGCCAGACAGTCCCAAATGTGCGGCTCTAAGAGCCGATATGAAAGGAGATCGACTAAATAGTCGATTTCAGCATATTCATAAGAATAAATCGGTTAAAGCTCATGGGGTTGTGTAAGAATTGATTATCGTTCAGGATGGATATCATTCTTTAAACAAATATTGGTCAATAGCAATAAGATATTAACAATAATTAGTTCATGCTAAGCCAATGACTGTAAGTAACCGAACCCTTTTTATGAAAGAAACAGTTCATCATCGTTCAACCATTTAATAGAGATAAATCTAATGAACATATTAGATCTCATCTATCGCTATGACCAGTGGGGCATGAGGCAGAATCATGCAGGCCGTAGAAACAACGATAGACTCGACGACCCTAACTTATTACTAATATCAGTGGGGCATGAGGCAGAATCATGCAGGCCATAATACAATAAAAAGATCATGGGACTAACATATCTTTCAATCTATCCCTACTTCAATGATCTCGTGATGCGAACTATTCGTGAAAGCGCTCAATATCAGCTAAACAACCGATTCAGGCATAGCGTACAGTTAAGGCCATGCCCTCTCAGGAATAGATCTACTAAATAATGATCACTACTCTACGATGCTAATAGTCGGGTGTGAGGCAGAATCACATAGGCCATGAAAACGGACCATAGAACAGTTTTCGCTAGCCAATAGATCTACTCAAGATCAAACATGCCTTAACTGCACGCTATGCACGATCAAGATTGATGTAAAACAGCGGATAAAACATAACTCATCGTTTAAAATGCAGATTAGATCAGTTTAGATTAACAAACGATGGGTTAAAAAGATATAAGGCCGATCTAGATCAATCCCAATCGGGCGAAGTGATATTGCTGTAATTAAATGAATAATGGAAGCAACAAGCAATATCGGTAACTCAATGAATCTATCCGAAGGAACGCCACCCTTAGATAGAGCCGATAACTTGACCTTAATCTAGTTCGAGCAGTGGAGGTCGACTAGATCGATGCAGCCGTACTTGAACTAGACAAGAGTCGATAACTAACTTATACTAGAGTCGCAGTGGAGGTCGACCGGATCGATGCAGCCGTACGAACAGAGGTATAAGCCATGACGGTACTTACAGACAAGCAGTGGAGGTCGACCGGATCGATGCAGCCGTACTTGCTGAAGAACTCACCGAGGTCTACTCTACTCCTACTCCTAATGGGTGGCCGGAGCAGAAAAAAGTAAATAACTGGTATTTGACTGATTATGTGTCTTTTACAATAGCCGAACTTTGATATTTATACCCGGGACCTAAAAATGAATCCTACTCGAGTATGACTCAGCACAATCTTTGGCCCTAAGAGAAAACATTCCTAATTTAAGATAACTTAGACTCTAATCTTTCTCTTTTGGTAGAGTCCAACATGTTTCGTCCTGGCGTCGATCGTAGCCTTTGTCGTTATCTGCTGGTGCTACCTGAAGAAAGCCGATTCCAGTGCTATATTCGAATCAGTTGGTTCCGATCTGCATGCAATTGATTCCTTGATGACATGATCTTGGGAGCTTTCAAGTCCCTGTGACTCTTCTTCCAAATTTTGGTGTAAACACATGCCCCCCAATTTTGGGATAAAAGTAATTTTATTCCAAAATTATTACGTCTATACCCCCGATAGGTCCGTAGTCACGGGTAGAGAATCTTGATCTGGGGTCTACTGTTTGTCATCACCTATGTTAGCTCATGAGCCTATGCTTCAAAACTTTTACGAGAGTATCATTGCTTCACGGGCACTTGGATTCATCTTTCTAGGCCGGCTATAAAATGCCTATCCGACCCTGGCGACAGCAACTCAACAATTCAGCTATATTTCTCTTCCATCTGCCCTCTCGAGTGCTTTTGACTCCGCTAGACCCTCCATGGTCTATCCTTTTGTATGAAGATCTCAAGCAGTTAGAAGACTTTTTGTGCATAGGGTGATTGTGTCGCTCATTCTAGCGCCTCATTAAGCAAGAAGACCAGCTATTGCGGCTAGAAGAATTCTTGTGATATCATCTGAGTCTTCTCTCCATGCTCGCAAAGCTGTTCTAGTGTTTGCGAGGGCTAAAATGTGTGGACACCTTCCCCTTGTTTGCTCCTCCGAATGCCCACCGGGAAAGCCACATGCTTCTTTCTCATAGTTCCTCAATTTACCGAGAAATCGGCTGAGCATATGTTAGGCGGGTGACCTTCCTCTTCTCTGGCACAATTTTATCAACGGGCCAATGTTGATCTGGTTCACGATGACCTTCGGCCTTGTGGGGACTCGGACTCCCTTCAATCCAAAGAAGCCTTGATAGGTTGATCTCTGGTCAATGTCAATTCTCCGTATCCGTCCCACAATATTTTGTAATTTGGGGAAGCAATAAGTTCGAATCTGTTATCTCTTCGTTATCCATCCCTTGAATTCTCGGAGTGTCGTTCCGCTTCCGTTTCCGATTCTAATTTCACACCTCCGGCGAAATTTATCTTCTCGCCTTCCTGGGCTATATGTACAGGCCAAGGTCGTGGATCGAACAACAACCTGC